AAAATTGTGCTGCTATGATTTGATTAATGGGATTTGACTTGCAGCGTGTATCCCTGAAATGGGTGTGGCTTTTTGGAAAACTGACAATGGATGAGGCAGAGTCCTGCCAGTTTGTCTCTGGAAGCAGTATTTCCCTCCAACACCTGAGGACGAGTGTGTTCGCCACCTCACACAGAGGCTAGTGAAAAAGTACAGCCAACTAGGGTGGCATGCCAAACTGTCTGTGGACCAATTTGTCCTCTCTTTGGCTGGCAGAGTAACCCACACACCTGTGCGGCACAGAGCTTTGTGTCAACACAGCAATCTGAGCCAAAGCACTAGTGTGCAGATCAGCCACCACCAACAGCGACAATGGTGACACAAGTCAAAACCAGCACATCACACACTGAACTAGCAGTGGTGTGAGCAAACAATCACCACTGTCTTACGTGAAGTTGGATTTTCATTCAAACTGACACACAAGTCCCAGAAACTTCATTTCCAAGGAACTAATGATGACCAAAATCCCCATGGGAAACAAGGTTTTCCAGCTAATTGTGACTGCAACTGGTCATGGTTTATGGCTGCCCCTACCTCCTTCCTGAAATCTTTCTAAGTTTTTCCATTCCACAATCATTCCACAATCACCGAGCGCTTGTTTATAGGAATCATCTGATTGTAAGAGTTCTCTCTCTCTCTAATACTGTACAGTCTTTATCTTACATGAATCACCTTAAGGCAGTTGTTGTGAACTGATACCATATAAATACTTGATCTGATGTTTTCACAGCAGCTTAAAAGGTCAAGAAAGCCTTGGAAAAATGTTTACGGGCATATCCATAGTCTCAAATTCCCTTTGAACATGTCTTGGTTGGGAAATAGAGCCCAGACTTTAAGGTCAATTTATTTGGGGGTCAAACAACCCAAACAAAACAGTGAGAAAGGATGAACATTGATGCCTTTCTCAATCCTGATTGCAGGACTGATTCTTTAGCAATCCCTTGTTAATTCCTTATGAGAGGGGGGGAAATATAAGGTATTCAGCATCTGAATCTACACTTATTTTATTATCTGTGAGTTTTAACACAGTGTAAAAACAGAGCAAAAGATTGTCTGCTGAAATCTCTCATTTTTTTTTTAGTTCTCAGCTATAAAAAAAAGACAGTACATGGTGCTCAGATCAACATATTGTTGCCTAGACACGCCTGAATTCATTAAGCTTCTTGGTGGCTATATTACTTAACCATAAGCTTACCATTAGATGATTCTGAAGATTGTTGGCCTCCTGTTTAATTGACAAGGTAATGAGTCACAAGAAGCCTCTGCTGTGCTGTCTAAACCTGAGCTGAAGGTTCAGCTCAGGTTTAGACTTATCTCAGTAAGTGAGATAAGTCTTTGTGTTTCTCTGATCCAATCTTAACCTTCCAGTTGAAACAAAAAGTGAACCGCTCTGCTTTAAGAATAATATCATGCAGGAACCTTTGAATGGTATTAAAACTATGACTTAATATTAGTTGAAATGACTCTGTCCTGTGTGAATACTGTGTGCTGCTCTGTAATTGGAGTTACAGCAATCAAAAGAACCAATTTTACACATGAACAGCTGCTAATATGTGATTTGCAAGTCTATAGTCATTTAAATGCTTAAAATTGAATAAGTGAAGGAGCCTAGCTCTGGAGAAGTTCTGAGAGCAAAAATGAAGAAAGTTAAATTAGCTCTGCATCAAAACTCCACGCTCTGAAAGTATGAGAGCAGAAGCTGTTTAGGGCAGAGCTGCAGCAGCTGCAATTATTATATTTGCAGGTAAAAACACAAATTGTTAGGATTTACTTAGAAGCAGCCTATTTTGAGTAGCAATTATTATGCATTGCACCAGTTGGAAAAATGGTGATTC